TTCCCGGAGTTCCTGACCATGATGGCCAGAAAGATGAAGGACACAGACAGCGAGGAGGAGATCCGAGAGGCCTTCCGAGTCTTTGACAAGGTCAGCAGCCCTGGGGACAGCAGGCGGGGCCCCAGGACATGCAGCACAACAGAGTCATCACCTTCGCGGGCCTGGCCCGTGTCCGCCCCGCTGCTGACTTGTCCCACGGCCTCCACAAGGCCCGGGACATCCCTCTGTCGCAGGGGAGGGTGGGAGCCTCTTCCCCAGGGGACAACAGCCGCCCAGGGGACACTTGAGGCTCAAGGCCTCTCCTGCCCGACCCCCAGGACGGGAACGGCTACATCAGTGCTGCTGAGCTGCGTCACGTCATGACGAACCTGGGAGAGAAGCTGACCGACGAGGAGGTGGACGAGATGATCCGAGAGGCCGACATCGATGGGGACCTCTCACTCTCCCCAAAGGCAGTGAGTGTGGAGGCGCGGACGCGCGGCGGAGCTCGAGCTGCTGCAGCTGCTGCCGCCGCCAGAGGAGCCTTGATCCCCGCGTACCGGACACCCCGGGCCTCGCCATGGTGAGTGAGGCTGCGGGACTGCCGGGGTGGGGGCCTCTGAGACCGGCATACCCGCGAGAGGGCCATTAGTAGACCCGGCATGGGAGGCGTTTGGACCCCAAAAACCTCGGGGACCCCCTTTCCACGAAAGGGGGCGTTTGAGCCCTGAATGGTGGCTCTGCACCCCTCTCGGGCCATTTGAACCCGGAGCGGGACGTCTTGATGCTAAATGGAGCACTTTGGAGCTTCCAGAAACGACTTAGAGCACAAGATAGGGTGTCTGGGCCCCCAGATGGTCATCTGAGCCCCTTTAAAAGGGACATCTGAGCCCATGATGGAGCATCTGAATCCTTAAAGGGGCATTTGGATCCCTAAGGGGGCTTTTGAGCCCGGGATGGGACGCTTGAGGTGGTGGATGTGGATCCAGGGGGCAGTTTGGGTCGCGATGAGGGCGTGGAGGTCCAGAGGATGCAGGAAGGAGCCCAGAGAGGCCAGGCTGCTGGGCCTGGGTGGGGAGGGGGGCAGAGGAAGGGGTCAGGGAATGAGGGGTGGGGGGGTGTCGCTTCTGCAGATTAGATCCTTGAGGGTGGAGAGAGCGGAGGATGAGCCCAGGGTGGGGGGTGGTGGAGGGTCTGGAAGATGCTCTGGGGGCGTTGAGGACAGGGAAGGATCGCCCCGATCCTTGGTGGTTGTGGAGGTGGTTGGAGGGGGGGGCCCTAGAGACTGGTTCCGTAGGAGGATAGGGAGACCCCGCAGTTTATGGGAGGGGGTAGCTAGAGAAGATTCTGAGGTTCCTAGTGGGTCCAGGTTATTGCGCCAAGAAAGATTTTAATTTATTGGTTGGTTTTTGGGTGGTTTTTTTTTTCATCTAGGGGTGGGGTGGGAGGAGTGTTGTGTTTGGGTCCGTGAGGAGGTGGTTTCCAAGGTGAGGGGCGGTGGCAGTGGGGGAACACTTTTGCTGGGGAAGTGAGGTTGCAGGGGCTGGAGTGGGGGGGTGCGGGCTTTGGAGGGGGTGAAGGAGAAAAATGAATGGCAGCCAAGGTGGGCTGAGGTCTGGGGGTGGGAGCAGGTCACTCCCTGGACATCTGCAGGACAAAGACTTTTGAGTCCGTTGGGAGTGGGCAGCAGAGACCCGGAGGAGTGGCTGTGCCGTGTGTGTGCCCCCCACCCCTAGGAGGAGCTGGGCTGGGCTGGAGGCACCCGGGCAGTGGGAGCAGGTGGGCGGAGCTGTTCAGGCCCCTACTGCGCACTGAAGCTGCATGAAATGAGGGCGGGGGTGGGGGTGGGGGTGAAAGTTTGGGGTGCATCTACCAGCTTTTGGAAGCCTGGACACCTCAACCTGGCAGCCCTTTCAGGACCAAGAGGATAGCCATTTCTCGAGCCAAGCGCTGCTGGCTCTCTTCGTGAGCGCCAGCCCCGCTCGACTCCGCATCTCCTGGTTGGTGCCAAATGACAGTGCAGTGCGGTGTGGCGTCGGTGACAAACCCACACCCATTCCGCGTGCCCTCGGGGGTGGGAGCTGCAGAGCGGAGCCTGAAAGGACCTCGAGAGGGACACCCCCCCTCTTAGTCCAAGGCCACTTGTTCTCTTCGAGGGGCCAAGGGGACCCCTCACTGAGTACTTGTGTTGATTCACACCCGTAGCTCCAGGTTGGAGAGGAAGCCTGAGGCTAGGTCTTGCCGCTCCTGCCCCCCCAGGCTGAGCTGCAGAACCCTCCCTGGCAAGGCCGGGGCCAGTCGGCCGCCGCTGTGTATCAGATCTCAGACTTGCTGACACAGACCTGCCGGCTCCTCTTCCCACTGCCCCCATTCCCCCCAGCAGAGCCCAGCTAAAAGGGGCCCTGAGCCCTCACAGGCACTGAGAGCCCCCCAAGTCAAATGCACACAAAACAACAGGGCCCACGTTTGAGTCTCTTGACTAATTAGTTTTCCTTTCCAGTGGTAATTCACAAGGTGTGGGTGGGCCAGGTCACTGCTCCTCGGCGTTGGACTTTGGCCTGCGCCCTGCGGCTCCTCCTTGGCCCAGGCGAGGGACCCTGGCCTTGGTTTCTGGTCTCATCTAACACTGCAGTCTGGCAGTGGCTGGGGGCTGGGGCACGGTGCAGAAATCATACCCTCTTCCCTCCCCCAGCCCCTTGCTGGAACTAAGGGGTGGGGGGGGGGAGGAAGCGGGAGACCAGCTGGCTTGTGTCGGAGGCAATTTTTTTGGCGAAAGCTGAGAGTCTTCAGCTCTGGCTAGAAAAGGGGTCACCAAGGATGGCGGCCCATCAGGTCATCTGAGTTCTCTGGGCAGCAGTTGGACTTGGAGGTCAGAGACCTTTCCTTGACCAAGCTGGCCATGAGGGTCTCTGGAACAGGAGGCAGTTTCTGCAGGCCCCTCGGGCAGAGCCACGCCTCTTTGCAGCAGCCTTGAATCTGAACCTGGCAGGGCCTTGTGGGGAAGGGCAGACCCTGGCCTGCAGGTCGCCTTGGCCAGTGGGTAGCCTGCTCCTACTCCCTCCAGAGCTGGGGGAGAAGGAGCCCCCCTTAGCTGGTGCAGAGAGAGTGGGAAGGGCCCTTCCGTGCTTTGCATATGTGGCCAGGAGAGGACGGTGCCATGGCCACTGCCATCTCTGCCCTTCTGTGTCCCCTCCCCAGCCTCCTCTCACTCTCCCCAAGCTCGAGTGTCAGGACCTCGGGGAGCAGCCCAGGCCGCCTGCCCACAGGAGCAGAGGAGCCGAAGGACTCGGGGCTTGCTCTGTCCCAGGCCGAGCTGCAGACTGCAAGTGAGGGGCTGCCCCCCAGGATCCTTCCTGAAGGCCATGTGCAGGCACCTCCAGTTGGCCTCCTCACCTCCTCTTTTTAGACTTTTCCAGAATATGCATGTGTATCTCCCCGCTGTCATCATGGATGTTCCCTTCCAGCCTCCCTCTTTGGTCCAAGTTCCTCTTCCCTTCAGGGGCAGGAGCTAGTCGAGGCACAAAACCTCTTAATAGTCTGAAGGGGCTCAGGTTGTTGGCAGGAACCTCTGCTTAGAATCATGCAAATACATACAGTAGTTTGCATCTCGTCCTAGGACCGCCCCTATTAGGGCTAGAACCCTCCTGTTGACCAAAGTCAGGAGCCCTTGTCTCTAAGTGAGCAGGACCGAGAGGAGGGGGAGTAGTATGTGAGCCCACAGGGTTTTGGGGAGCAGTGGGCTACCATATTGGCAGCACTCACAAAAACCAAGACAATTCTTCCCTTCGCTGCCGAAAGTGAAACGCTGGGATTGGGCCCAGCACTGGGCGCCAGCTCCCCGTCCATAAGGATGCCTCCTCGCTGGCGGGTCCCCAGGGCCTCAGCGCAGAAGGGGCTCTGCGCCCCCACCCCATCGTGCAGCACGGCAGCGTGCTCAGGACCCAAACTTCAGCCCCACAGCCTTTGCTTCAGTCTCCTTCCTGACGTGTGTCCCTCCTGTCCCAAGAAGGCCACAGGGGCCGGGCCCACAGGCAGCTCAGAGGACATGTGCCAGCGTGGGTGCCCCTGCCTGGGCCTTGTGCCCCCCACCGGCTGGCCTGCTTCGGTCTGGAGCTTTCTAGAGCTGCTTGATCAGGCCTTTCGGCCACTGATCCCTGAACTCGGCCTCTGGGGCTCCTGCCACAGCGAAGGGGGGGATGGAGCATGAGGTGGGCTGAGGAGGCCGGGAGTCCAGGCAGCTGGGTCAGGCAGGACCGGGTTCCCAGTCCACCCTGGTCCCCAGTTTCCTGAGTGACCAGGCACTGGCCGCTGGCACACTGGGGCCACCATGCGGAGCTGCCTCCCCTGGATCAGATGGGGACGATTCATGAGTAACGGCAGACTGGCCCCGGGACTGACTTTATCTTTCCTTGTCTGTCTCTTGTAGGCTGACCAGTTGACCGAGGAGCAGATCGCAGGTGAGCCAGCCCTCTGTCCCTGTAGACACTGTGCAGGGCCCCCAAATTAGGAAACCCCCAGGTACATGTCGTAACCCTCACCTCAGCCAGGTTTCCTGGGCCTCCCTCAGGGATGTCGCCTCCTCCCACGCTCCATCACAGCCCCCCCCCAGCCAGCCCCCCTACACCACACTTACCTCCTTCCTAGCATTTGTTCTCAGAAGGTAATTTAACAGTGTCTGCATTTGTGGCTTGAGGTGAATTCCTTGTGTTGGGGACCTGGTGAGTTTTGGTCCCCACCACATCCCCAATGTCTAGAACATATAATAAAGGAACCACCACACAATCTCCCATAAATGACAGAACTCCTTGGAGCCCCCATGAATTCCTTCTGTGTCACTTCAAAACCCTGAGAAGGTCATAGCCGTGGGGACTGTCATGTATTTGAGAGAACACATTACCATGTCACCCTCCGCCCAGGCCAAGCTGCCTAAGGACAAAGACCACCCCTTGCTCTCTGGAGGCCCAACCGGACAGCTGCCCACCCCCCAAGCTTTGCCAGAGGCCAGGCGAGCAGCATGCTCAGTGCTGAACTGCCTGACTTCAAGGGGGGCAGGAGTTGCGGGGGAGTTGGCTCCCTGCCTTCCCCCCCACCCCCCGCCCGCTCCACCAGCCACAGCCACTCTCTGTGCTGTGAGACCATGGCCCCACACGGCCATGGAGACCACCAAGAGGGCTGCCTGGTCATGTCAGATCCTGAGTTCAGAGCGCCCACACCACCTGTTCCCTGTCCCCAGTCCCATAGCAATAAGGCCTCGCAGAGGGACAGGCCAGCATCCCCAAGGAGATGCTCCCATTTCCCTGGGCCAGAGCCTGGGTGTCACAGCTGGACTGCTGGGTTTCCCATCCCCCTCACACCTGCCCCAGCTCTGCCCCAGAGTAAGGCAAGCGCGCGCGCGCGCACACACACACACACACACACACACACACACACACACACATCCATCGCCATTAGTGGCACTGTCCCCTGCCTCACCCTAGCTCATGCCCTCTGGGAATGGGCTGCCAGTCCCGGGAGGGTGCCAGGTGCCGAAATGGGCCCAGCGGGAGGGTAAGCGCCACGCCTGCCCAGCAGCCACACCTCCCGATCTGATGCATCCCCAGCTGTGGCCTGCCCGCTCAGCGCCACCAGCTCCTCACCCCCTTTAACTCGGCAGCTGTCCCCTCTCCACTCCCCCCCCACCCCACGCACCGTCCGTCAGCCGTGTGCCGCCACCGGCCACCCCCACACTGCACCACGCAGCCACGCTGCTTCTCAGGAGCGGGCAGCAGGGAGCCGGGCTGTGAGGCCAGCTAGGGCTTCGGGTGCCAGTCCTCTCAGTCCAGGGACCTCTGCAGTCTCCGCTGTCAGGGTGCCCATGCCCAGCTGGCCTGAGCCCCAAGCCCTGCGCATTCGCCTGGAGCCCCTCCCCTGGCCCCTCAGCGGCATTGTCCGGTACCTTGTGTGAGGAATTGAGGTCCGAGAGGAGGTGGGGGCCTCAGAGGGCAGCTGTCAGCCCGTCTCCCCCATCTTCACGGAACTGGGTTGCTCACTAGACATGAAAAGAAGGGCTCTGAGACAGCGGACTGGATGGAGTCCTGGTCTCGTCAGCACTGCTTTCGGGGGGGCGTGGGGCTCTCAAACCCTGATCTTATCCCCTCCCTCCCTCCCCCAGAGTTCAAGGAGGCCTTCTCCCTCTTCGACAAGGATGGAGATGGCACCATCACCACCAAGGAGTTGGGCACAGTGATGCGGTCCCTGGGACAGAACCCCACTGAAGCTGAGCTGCAGGACATGATCAATGAGGTGGATGCAGACGGGAACGGGACCATCGATTTCCCGGAGTTCCTGACCATGATGGCCAGAAAGATGAAGGACACAGACAGCGAGGAGGAGATCCGAGAGGCCTTCCGAGTCTTTGACAAGGTCAGCAGCCCTGGGGACAGCAGGCGGGGCCCCAGGACATGCAGCACAACAGAGTCATCACCTTCGCGGGCCTGGCCCGTGTCCGCCCCGCTGCTGACTTGTCCCACGGCCTCCACAAGGCCCGGGACATCCCTCTGTCGCAGGGGAGGGTGGGAGCCTCTTCCCCAGGGGACAACAGCCGCCCAGGGGACACTTGAGGCTCAAGGCCTCTCCTGCCCGACCCCCAGGACGGGAACGGCTACATCAGTGCTGCTGAGCTGCGTCACGTCATGACGAACCTGGGAGAGAAGCTGACCGACGAGGAGGTGGACGAGATGATCCGAGAGGCCGACATCGATGGGGACGGTCAGGTCAACTATGAAGGTGAGACGGCAGCACCTTGGTCCCCGGGGCCACCCTGAGGGTGGCAGCCCCCCGAGGCAGGGCAGGCCGTGCGAGGCAGGGCCTTGTCCACCCCTGCCCCCACCCCCCCACACTCACCTCCCCATCTCCCTCCACAGAGTTTGTACAGATGATGACCGCAAAGTGAAGTCCGGGCAGCTGGCGATGCCCGTCCTCCTGATCTCGTCCTCGCGCGCGCCCTCTCTCCACCACTCCCCCCGCGTCCCCTGGTTCTAGCAAACACCAACGGATTGACTGAGAATCTGATAAAGCAACAAAAGATTTGTCCCAAGCTGCATGACTGCTCTTTCTCCTTCCTCCTCGGGTCTCCCCTCACGCCCCCTCATCTCTTCCTTTGGCGCTCCCCCATATCCCAAGGCCTGCCGCATTCATCAGATGAGCCCCCCCCCACCCCTTAAGGGAGCTTCCGCCCTCCTCCTGCAGCCCGGGGTGGGGGGCTCTCCTCCGTTTTGGTTTGTTCCCTTTCGTGCGTCATCTTTTGGGTGCTGGGGTGGCTGCCGGCCCTGTCCCAGGACCTCAGGGACAGCGTGGCCCTTGCCCAGGCAGAAGAGCATGCCCTGCGCTGTCGCATGGCCCCGCCCTGCGTGTCATGTGCAAAGCCTACCAGCCCCTGCCAGCCCGGGGGTGCCAGACGAGGCCCTCCGGGAGCACAGAGAAGGGGGGACCGAGGAAGCAGGGTGGATGTGATCCAGGACGGGCTCAAGGCCAGGGGTCTCAGCGGTTGAGGGGCTGCCTCAACAGGGCTGATGGCGTGGGCGGCGCCCAGACCCTTGGCCAACCCCCTCTGGAAGCACCTGCGATTGGCTCTCTGCCATGAGGTGCTGGGGGTACTGCCCTGTGGCCGTTCGGCGGCCGTGGCCTCCTCCAGCTCTTCTGTACAAACCTGGTGCTAACACATCCCTGCCGCACCCCCCACCCCACCCCGCGCCCACTCCCACCAGAAGGGGTGTGGGCCGGTTGGTGTGTGACCCCGGCTGGCTGTCCTCTGAACTTCCAACCCACTCCCCCTTTCAAACCCCTTCAAACTTTTCATTTTGTCCAAACCCATGCCGGGCAAGCCCAAGGGTGGGGAGAGGGGCGGTGAGCCGACCGAGCTCTCAAGAGAACGCACCTGCAATAAATGGTCTCGCTGGCCTGGCGCTGCCCAGCACCGCCCTCCATGCGGGCAGCCTCGCCCCAGCCAGCCGGCCCCTCCCGCTTCTCCGTGGCCACTTGGCGGCTTCGTCACCTCTGTGCTGTCTCTCGTGCCCTCCCCGCCTGCCCACCTGCCTGCTCCCACCCCCAGCGGAGAGCATGATCCGTGACCTTGCTTCTGACTCTGGCCTCTGGGACAAGTAAGTCATGTGGCAGTTCAGTCGTCTGGGTTTTCTTTATTGTTTGGGTTGGTTTTTCTGTTTGTTTTTTTACTTTCCCCTTTATTTCTGCTCTTTTCATCGGACCCGCTCCCTGCTCCCCGACCCCCACTGTCCCGGTCATTAGTGGCTTTTCCTGGGACCTGCCCAGCTTTGAGAGGCTTCCTGCCCAGCAGCCCGTGGAGGGGAGGGCGGGGCCCAGCGAGACCCAGCCAAGCGCTGAGGGCAGGGCAGGTAGGCGTGAGGCTGTGGATGTTTCCAGAATGTTTGGGTTTCGTTTTCCTTTCTCTTTTTTTTTTTTTTTTTTTTTTTAAAAAACAAAACAAAACCGGGCAATATTGTGTTCAGTTCAAGCTGTGAAGAAAAATATATATCAATGTTTTCCAATAAAATACAGTGACTACCTGACTTGGCTTCGTCCCCGTTGTGTCCTGCTGGAGCCAGCTCCCTGCGGCTGGGACCCACCCACCGGGGACAGGGACAGGACCTGGCTTCCACGCTCGGCTTCGTCCACACTGAGGGCAGGAGGCTTCCTGTCAACCAGTGCTCGTGGCGCTTCAAACCCACCAGCTGCTCCACAGAAGAAAGATAAGGCAGCTGGGCTCAGTTAAGATGCACACACGGCTTCAGAAACTAGTAGAACCCAAACCTCCCTCTCCTGTAGGGTGGCTGGCAGTCGGATGCAGCGAGATAGATTTTGCTTTGAGGATGTGGACACAGGGACTCTTGGGGGCACTTGGCCCAGACACATGAGAAAAGGCCAGCCAGGCCCAGTCAGGAGGGGGCAGCACTGAGCTAAGAGCTGAAGGCTGGGCCGGTACAGGGTGTGTCCCCAAGCCAAGAAGAGTAACTGTCAGAGCCTTGTGGCAGGATGAGGCTGAGGCCAGGAGGAAATCGGGGCAGGTCATCCGGGGTGACACTTTAAGGAATGGGGTGGCATGCACTGGTTTGGTGTCATTAAACCCACGGTCAGCTGCAATTCATGTTGTTGTTTAGTGCCGTCGAGTCGTAGGCGACTCATAGCGACCCTATGAACGAACGGCCTGAGCACTGTTCGTACATAGAGTTTCCGGAGACAAGCCATTTCGGAAGTGGATGCCGCTCCTGCTTCCAGGCTTGATTTAGTCGGGAAGCTTCAGCCAACACCGTCCACCATGGGTATCCATTACCACGATTGGCACATCACTGTCACAGGCTTCAGCATCACAGCAACCACGAGTTACCTCTGTACAGCAACGCACAGACCAGTGCTACACCACCTAGAGGAATGTTTGACTGGAAAACAATTTGAATTCAGATGTTGTTATGTGCCGTCGAGTCGTTTGCGACTCATAGCGACCCTATGCACAACAGCCCTAAACCCTGCTCTATCCTGCGCCAACCGCACTGCCTCTGACACACCCATCCCGATTACCCCAGTCACCGAATCAATCCATCTCATAGAGGGTCTTCCCTTCCTGCGCTGTCCCTCCACCCTCCCAAGCATGATGTCCCTCTCCAAGGACCCGTCCCTCCTGGTAACATGTTCAAAGTATGTCAGACGAAGCCCCAGAATCCTTGCCTCCAAGGAGTAGCTTGGTTTAATCCTCTCCAAGATGAATCTGTTTGTTTTCCTGGCAGTCCATGGTACATTCAGTACCCTTCTCCAGCACCACAGCTCAAAAGCATCCACTCTCCTTCTGTCCTCCCTAGTCATTGTCCAACTCTCTGATGCATAACAAGCGATTGCAAAGACCATGGCCTGTATCAGGTACACCTTAGTCTCCAGAGAGACACTGTTGCTCTTGAGTACTTTAGAGAGGTCCCTAACAGCAGACTTTACCCATCGCGATACGCTTTTTGATTTCCTGACTGCTGGTGCCAAGAGTGTTGACTGTGGAGCTGAGCAAACTGAAGCTGTGAACAATCTCAATCTCTTCGCCATCCATCCTGATGCTGCCAATTGGTCCAGTGGTGAGAATCTTTGTCTTCTTGACATTGAGCCTCTAATAGATCTTCCACCAATCCTGATGCCACAATTCTCCGATAGTGACCCTAAAACCAGAACACTTGGTGCCACCACATCTAACATAATAGCCATGAGGACAGAGTAGGACCATCCCACAGGCTTGCCACGGCTGCCTGGAAAGTGGAAGACCCTCAGCGACACAGATTGGCGCAGTAACCGTGACGATAGCACGGGACAAGCAGAAGCCGGCGGCCACCTCGCTCTCCAGTGAAGCAGCGCCGGGGGTTGGATTTGAGCCACTAACCTTTTGATTAGCAACAGAACATTTTAAGCACCGCACGTCCCCAGCCACTGTGCAGGACAAAGTAGAACCGGCCCGTAGCTTGTCTAAGGCTACAGTCCTTACAAGAGGGAATGTTGCATGGATCTGCTGCAAAGATGGGAACCTCTGACATTTGGGTTAGCAGCCCTGGGTTTAATCACCGCGGTACCGGACCTTTTAGGTATCACCCTGAACGTGCCAAGTGACTGGGCGCGCTCAAACTCACTACTGTCAAGTGAGAACAGACTCCTTCATTCCTGACCCTCCAGCTAGCTTGCTGAGGCTGTAAACCACGCTGGAGGCAGCTGCCCTTCTTTGAGCTGCTGGTGGGTCCAAACTGCCTTGGGGGTTAGCAGTTCAACTTCCTTGCAGACTATGCCACAAACAGATGGGCATGAGAAAACAGGCCAGGGACCGAGCTCCCCTGCCATGAACTCCCACAGGAAACAGACCGGGACAGAGCGAGAGGTGCTCAGGACCATTTGAAACAAACCCTCCCCTCAAAGCTATTTTGAGCGACAGTAGCAGCCTCGTTAACTTCCGAGTGGCGAGTGGAGACTTGGGGGGAAGAAGACATCTCGACCCGTGATGCTGTCACAGGATGTGTCCGATTCCTCTGGGAGAGATGTTTCCAAACTATAGGTTCCTCCCCGCTTCCCTCTGCTCCACAGCCCTGCAGCCCCCTTCAGCGTGGAGAGAGATTCTCTTCAGAGCCTTTTCGTCACCACCCTACCCCCGTCATTTAGTATTTGGTGGAAGGGCCAGGGCTGCCCGGCCACCCTGTGTCCCAGCTCCAGCACCATCAGACTAGGGTGGTCACTTCCCACCTCTGGACCTCAGTGTTCCTGCCTGTGACCTCCCTGCCCACTGCCAGCAGGCCTGTGCTGACCCACCGACTTTAGAAAACCAAGGAAAAGTGCGCCTTCAGGTTTCCAAGGAGCCCTGGTGACTTGGTCGTAAGGAGTTGCACAGCCAACCCAAAGGCACTCGGTTCAAATCCACCAGCCGCTTCGCGGGAGAAAGATGGACAATCTCCCGTGTGATTTACTGCCTCTGAGAACCCGCGGGAGAGTCAGCTGTGAATTGGTTCTGACTCGATGGTACCAAATAACAAGAACAGGGGCTCCAAGGTTGTAATATACTCTATACAGAGGCAGAGTATCCCATCTTTCTCCTGCAGGGGGGGGCTGGTGAGTTAAAGCCACTAATCTAATTTTGCTGCCTTACTCTAACCATAGAGTTCATCTTTCAGGTCCTAATACATGCGCACATCCTCAATCTCCCTGGTGCAGCAGGCACGATGGGCTCATGGTGTGCCCTCGGTGGACTGGAGAGGCCTCGGGATCCCACCCTGGGGATTGTGGGATCCCCACACTCAATACCCTTGGTACCAGCATGCAGGAAATCACGAGACATATTGCTCTAGGAAAGGCTGCAGTCAGGGACTTCTCCAAATTACTGAGGAGCAATGATGTCAGTTTAAGGACTAAGGTGTACCTGCCTGAGCCCATGGTCTTTCTAATTACTTGCTGTGCATTTGAGAGCTGGGCAATGAATAAGAATGACAGAAGAATTGATGCTTGGCGAGCTCTGGCAGCCTAGTGGCAAGAAGCTGTCCTGCAATCCCAGAGATGCGTGGTTTCAAGTCCACCAGATGCTCTGCTGGAGAAGGAGGAACAGTCTCCTCCTGTACCAGTCAGACCTGATTTGACGGTACACACACACACATACATTTTTTAGAAATTTATTATTTTTGTTTGTGTGTACTGTCAAATTGGATCTGACAGGTACAGGAGGAGATTGCCCCTCCTTCTCCAGCAGAGCATCTGGTGGATTTGAACCGCGTACCTCTGAGATTGCAGTGCAGCATCTTGCCACTAGGCCACCAGAGCTCCCTTACAAATAATTTTTTTTAAAAAAGAACTGATGCCTGTGAGCTGTGGTGGTGGAGAATTGTCCTGAACATCCCATGGACTGCCAAAATAACAAATATATCTTGGAGAAAGTGCAACCAGAGTGCTCCTTGGAGGCAAAGATGATAAAGCTTCATCTTACATAATTCAGGCATGTTGCTAGAAGAGGCTATTCATTGAAGAGGGTCATGATGCTTGGAAAAGTGGAGGGTCGGCAAAGGAGTGGAAGACCCTCACCCAGGTAGATTGACATGGTGACTGCCACAATGGGTTCTAATGTGTCAGGAATCGTGGACAGGACAGTGTTCGGATCTGTTGTTCATAGGGTTGCTATTGGTCATACTCGATAATACCTAATAACAACAACAAGTGGGCTGGTTGCTATTATTCTCCACCTGGCAAGCTAGGACCCCTAGTTATGAAGACGTTAGTTAGCTGCTCACCCAAAGGTCAGTGATTCAAACCCAGTAGCCACTCCACAGGAAGAAGACAAGACCATCTGCTGTGAAGAGTCGATGCTTGGCAAACTAGGAAAATTAGATAAAGGAGATAAAGCCATTACTGCTGGGCTGAAAAATGAAGAAAGTGGTGGAGCTGGACTTAGATGTGACCCCTAAAAGTGTGTGTTCTCAGCTGCTGGGCCATAGCATTGTCACTTTGAGCCATTGAAGTAGTCAATCTTCCAAGAACTCTTCCAAAGATCTAAAGAGCAAGGTTGCTAGTTTAAAGACTAAGGTGTGTCTGATATAAGCCATGGTAATTTCAGAGTGTTCCTCAGAGGTAAGGAAGGCTGAAACTTTTTCTCACTTACTTTGGGCATGTTTTCAGGAACGAAATGAAGACTCAAGAAAAATGGATCAACACAGTGACTATGGCTTGAGCACGACCAATTGTGAGGATGGCACAGGATAGGGCAAGGTTCAGCTCTGTTGTTCACAGGGTCATGACGAGTAGGGGTTGACTTGATGGTACCTAACAAGAAGTCAGATTAATAAAACCCACGGACTGCAGCCTTCAGTATGGAATGGGGCTCAATATCAAGAAGACAAAGATTCTCACCACTGGACCAATTGGCAGCATCAGGATGAAGAGATTGAGATTGTTAACAACTTTAGTCTGCTTGGCTCCACGGTCAGCACTCTTGGCACCAGTAGTCAGGAAATCAAAAGACATATTGCGATGGGGAAAGTCTGCTATTAGGGACCTCTCCAGGGTACTGAAGAGCAATGGTCTCTCTGGAGACTAAGGTGGGTCTGATACACGCTACAGTCTTTGCAATCAGTTGTTACGCATCAGAGAGTTGGACAATGACTAGGGAGGATAGAAGGAGAA